ATCGACGCCAGGATGGCCGCCATGGCAACGGGCAGCAACGGTCGATGGCTGCCACGCCCCCTCCTATGAACAGGAGGGTGAAGGGGGGGGGGTGCAGGTGGGTCGGCATGTTGCCTTAGTGGGCCAAAACCCGGGAGGAGGCCGGTTGTTTTGCTTAGTTTAATTTTTTTTGTTTATTTACTTTTTATCATTTACATTTTACTGTTTTATTTAATTCTCACATCATTTTAGTTTAATAAAAATATGAGACCCCACCTAAAATAGTGTTTTACTTTAACCCTCTGCCCCAAAATGTTCGACTCCCAAATAAAATAGTTTGCTATTTTATAATTTAGAAAAGGCATTATATTAATTGTTAAAGCCACTGCTTAATTAATTTTGTGTGTTTAAACTTTTTATAAAAATGTGGTTTCTTCACCAACAATATTTATGAATTATTTGCCACAGTTTGCGCATTTTAGTTTTGACATTTGAAAACTTTTAATTTTAACTTTGTTTTAAATTTGAATTTAAACTGACTTTGAATCAACACGAGTTTAACAACAGTAATCATGATGATGAGGTGTCATTAGCAAGGAATCACTGTAGCTTAATTATCCGGGCGTCGCACATGTCCACATGCTTAGAGAGAGAGGTGTCAATAAAAACAAAATGCGGACATAGAAGCATCATGTTGATTATTATAATAGCAACAAACTTAAACATGAGACTTTTATCATAGAACTTTTATCACAAACTTCTCATTAATAACTGACAATTCATCACACTATCGAAGTATGAAGCATAAACTCTATTAGAGACAAACAAACTATGTTCTCAGTCAACTTTGCAACTACAATTCATCATCTTTTCAGGAATGGTCACGTATCAGAGCCATTAGGCAAGTCCACATACTCAAACATCATTTAGTCTTCTATGATTGCTAACACTCATCACATACACATGAGAAAAATGTTTCAACCGGACACATAGAAAGTTATGGGCTTATAGTTCGCCTCCCAACGAATTCACCTCAAGGGTGATGTCAACAATAATAACTCATGCTACCCATATTCAGCTGGACATATGCGCCTAGATCTTTCCTCACCACATGAAGCTTGCCAATGGAGAAAATAAAAAGGAATAAAGACAAAAACTTGGACTCTTTGCATAAAAGTAAATACATAAAAGTAAAAGATAGGCCCTTCGCAGAGGGAAGCAGAGGTTGACATGCACTTATTTGTTTGTATGCTCAACCCCTTAGTGTAAAAGAACGTCACGTCATATTGCCCCTTGTGATGGCAACCTTTATTATGCAGTCCTTCGCTTTTATTCTTCACCATCACAAGTTTGTACAACGCTCAATTTTCTCTTACACTAAATGATCTCACACTTTTAGAAGCAATTTGTATTGCCTTATTGCACTGATGACAACTTACTTGAAGGATCTTACTCAATCCTTAGGTAGGTATGGTGGACACTTGAAAATAAGATTCGGGTTTAAGGGTTTTTTGATGCACAAGTAGTATCTTTACTTAGAATTTTTGGCTAGCAAAGATAGGGGGCAAGCACCACATGTTAAAGGATCCATGACAATATGACTTCTTTGTGAATATGGACAAACATAAATCATTAAGTTGTCTTCCTTGTCCAACGTCAACAATTTTGGCATATAATATTTTGATGGGGGCTCACAATCACAAAAGATTTCTAGGATAGTATATTTATATGTGAATCTTCTCTTCCCTTATTAATTCTTTCATGAGTTGCATCATTAACCAATGCTATGTTTGTCAATCTCTAATAAAATTTCTACTTATACTTTTCCTTATGTGGTGTCGTCACCTACCATAAGATTAGCATATGATCTTCTTGATTTATTTCCTTTCCTTTTATTTATTTCATTTCTTTTTATTGCTACAAGAAAGTAAAGAAAGCAAAAACTCAAACTAAACTTTATTATATATCTCGCACACGATTAGAAGTATAGATCACTAAGCAAACTCTCGAATAGAAAGGATCGAACTAGACTTTTATTCATCTAAAGCAAAAACTAACTATGGATCGAACTAAAATAAGTGAAGGCAAAAGATAGTGGGGATGATACGATGCTGGGGCACCTCCACCAAGCTTGGCGGGAGCCAAGGGGAGTGCCCATACCCGATACTCAATTTTCTTTTTGTGATGAAGAAGAAGGTGGTGGTGTAGTAGTATTCTCCAATATAACCATGAGTAGATCTTTCAAACCTTGAATCTCCCGAAGGCTTGATGAAGTAACTCACTATTTTTCTCCACTTCAGCCATTATGTGTTTATTTTCTGCCCCCCAGGAGTTCGTTCCTGCACAGTTTTCTCTTGGGCGAGATATGTCCCAATTGGATGATATGTGCCTACGAGGAGTATTCTCAAACCCATAATTGTGAATCAAATTGCGAAAATTGTCATGATGTAACCTGTGTAGAGGCCTTCTTGGTGGGATTTCTTCTTGCACTTCGAGGCCCTCTTGATTATTTGATGATCTCATAGCTTGATGAGGATTCAGATGAGTAGAGATACCGGCCAATGTGTCTCTCTCGGAAGCCGGAGAGTGAACCCCAAAAGGATTTTCCTCTTCTTCCTCCATAACAACTTCTTTAGCTTCCTCTCTCCTTAGATCTCCCCGAAACACCTCTGCGTCTTCTTCTCCGTTGTTGGAGGGTGAGGAAGACATGATGCTAGCCTTATTGAATCTGTCAGGAAACAGTAGGAAAAGAAAACAGAAGATTTCTCTGCGATAAGGTGATCAATAGGTTCGGGGGGTATGTAAAGATTTTTTATCTTGGGGGACTAGCAAACTGTAGAAAAATGGAGTCCGAAAACTACCCGAGGTGGGCACAACCCACCTGGGCACGCCTTCCAGGCGCGCCCTGGTGTCTTGTGCCCACCAGGGTACGCTTCCTGGTTGTTTCTTATTTTCCAAATTTTTTTTATATTTCAAAACTGACAAAAAATATTTTTGCGGATTTTTTGGAGTCCGTTTACTTACCGTATCACGTACGTCCTTATTTTCACGATTATGTGGTGTTCCGGAAGGACTTTTTTATGTGTTCTTCCGGTGTCAAAGTTTGGATAATATTACTTTCAACATTAATGGGCGTACCTGAGATATAATGTTTTATTCGTTGCCCATTTACAACCTTCAGGTTAGTACCTTCGGCATTATTTATTTTGATAGCTCCAGACCGATAAACCTCCTCGATAACATAGGGTCCTTCCATTTGGATAGAAGTTTTCCTGCAAAGAATCTGAAACGAGAGTTGTATAAAAGAACATATTCTCCAACTTTAAACTCACGCTTTTGGATTCTTTTATCATGTCATCTTTTAACTTATTCTTTAAATAACTTGGCATTTTCATAAGCTTGGGTTCTCCATTCATCTAATGAACTAATATCAAATAACCTCTTTTCACCGGCAAGTTTGAAATCATAGTTGAGTTCTTTGATTTCCCAATATGCTTTATGTTCTAAATCAAGAGGCAAATGGCAAGATTTTCCATAAACCATTCTATAAGGAGGCATACCCATGGGATTTTTATATGTTGTTCTATAAGCCCAAAGTGCATCATCTAATTTCTTAGGCCAATATCTTTCGGGACCTATTGACAGTCTTTTGCAAAATTAATTCTATTTCTCTATTGCTAAGTTCAGCTTGACCACTAGACTGAGGATGATAAGGTGATGCAATTCTATGGTTGATATCATACTTGGCAAGCATTTTAGGGAAAGCACCATGAATAAAGTGTGAACCACCATCAGTCATTAAATATTTAGGGACTCCAAACCTTGGGAAAATAACTTTTTAAGCATTTTAATAGAGATGTTGTGATCAGCACTACTAGTTGGAATAACTTCTACCCACTTAGTAACATAATCAAGTTTTGGGGTGTTATAGATAACATTTCCGCCCAAGTTCCCTTCGCTGTTAGAACAAGGGGGCGCATCCTACTTGAGTTATTCAAGCTAGTTTTCTTCGGTTTTTATTTGTTTCTTCTCTTTTTTCTTCCCCGTTTTTTTTTGGTTTTCAATTTTCTTCTCCATTTCTTGTTTGGTTTCCCTTTTTCTTCTCCATTCTTTCTTTTTTCTTATGTTTATTTTTGTTTTCACTGTATATTTTCGTATATGTCAAAAACATTTTTTTAGTAAGTGATAAACATTTTTTGTGTACACGTTCAACATTGTCAATATTTTTCAATACTTGTTTAACATTTTAATACTCATTCAAAAAATTCAAATACATGTTCTACATTTTTCAAATACTCGTTCAATCAATTTTTAATACTTATTCAACATTTTCAAATACCTTTTCAACATTTTTAGTACTTATTCAACATTTTGAAAAACGTGTTCAGCATTTTTTGCAAATACTCATTCACTAATTTTTAATACTTATTCACATTTGTCAAATACTTCTTCAACATTTTTAATACTTATTTAACATGTTTAAATACTTGTTCAATATTTTTTTAATTCTTGTTCAACATATTTTAATACTTATTATATATTTTTCAAATACTTGTTCAACATTTTTGAAATGTGTTTTTAAACAGTGTTTTTTCTGTATATCTATCTATCTGGGGCTCCTCCAGACACGAGGCTTCCCTTTTACTCGCCACGAGAGCTATTTATCGCTTTAAGCGATACGATAGCCTCCTCACTCCGAAGGAATCTTCCTCTGTCGTATGAATCAGGCCGACCCATTTTATACTTTTTCACCAGATCTCTTGTTTTTGTTTTTTCTTTTCTTTTTTCTTCTCCATTTTTTCATTCTTTTTTTGCACTTTGTTTTCTTTCTTTCTTCCTTCCTTTCTTTCTTTTGTCATTTTATTTTGTTTGTTTGTTTTTTCTTATCATTTTTTGTTTTCTTTTCTTTTTTCTTCTCCATTTTTTGTTTTTATTCAGTTATTTGTTATGTTTTTTTATGTTTTCACTTTACATTTTCGTATATATAAAAACGATAAAAATCGTAACAAAGTTGACATTGCCTAACGCCACACATGGCCAACAAATGTTCCTACTCTTTCAGGCTCACATCGAGTCGCCACCATCAAGGTGGTGTCCTTGACTTCAAAGAAATCCGTCAGTGGGCGGTTCTCAGGAATGGAGGTCGCAACAACATGAGTGGAGACCTCGCTACAACGCGACTCAAGCGTGCAAGCACAAGTCAGGCTCCTTCCTTGGCGGCAGCTTCTTGGAGGTCGACCAAGCGATCCCAGGCTCCAACTACACGTTCGATCAACGGTCCCAAGTGGACATCAACATCTTGCGAGATCCACATCGAAACCTGCCACACGGGTCAGCGCCTAGTGACAACACCAAGGCTGTCTTGATCCGGCACAACATATATTTACGGAAGAATACCTGCAACAATTAACCACAATTGGCAAACATGGCGAGACGCCAGACAAAAAGCACGTCATAGAAGGACAAAGAAAGAGCATCCACCTCGGGCGACCTCCTGGAGCTTGGCTATTTGGCCGTATTGATCTGACAGTTTCACCGACATGCATTGACCGACCTCTCGCAGGGCGGCCCCCTCGGCAATTGAAGGGCCCTCACGCTTCCCTAAAGCTTCAATCTCATCCCGGATGGACTGGATTAGTCACCGCAGGTCGGCCTCTGCCACTCTCTCATTTTGCACCATTACCCGGAGACTGGAGGTAATGTTTTGGTTGGAATCCCCAGCGTCTCGCATTTTCAACAATAATTCCTGGCAGGAACAGGCCTCCAAAGCATCCAACTCAGCGATGCTCTGTTAATTGCTGGCCTCCTTCCAAACCAAGCTAAGACAACAAAGAATCTTGCAATATTGCTCCTCGGCTGCTTCATCACAGCAATAACAAGCTATATCAGCAAAAAACAAGTCTACACCAATTAAATGCCAGTAAGCAGAAGGTAGGTACTCACAGATGCAATCGGATACTGAGGCCTCCAACGCAGCAGTTCGGGCCTTCTCGCTCTCTAGCAATTGGCGCCCCCTCTCAATCTTCTTGGTCAGCAAAGAGCCGCGCTCCTGCAAGACCTACCAGCAATGGGATCAAAAATCAATACATTTACAGGCCATGTCTACAACACAAGCAATTACGAAAACAAGTGCATACATCCTGTCCATAAGCAATTACGAAATATAAGCAGCACGACGCGAAATAGAACACGACACGTCAGCCTAATCCAGAATGTAAAATCATCACTTAACTAACAAGCATCACAAGAGTATAATGAAAACAAAGCTAATGCATTAAAAGAAGGTTGCAAACCTTGATGAACTGAACAAAGAAAAAGCAGACTGGATAGATGGATTCCAGGTGAAACATTCGAAACTATACCCCAAATATCGTTCTTCTGTTACAGAAGATGCATAAACAATGGTGTTCCTTGCCCGAAATTCATCATAGTAAGCTTGGTGCAGATTACTGTATCATGAATAGGATATTTAAGACCAGAACACAAAAGAGTTGTTGTTACATGCATATGCAAAAAACTAAGCTCTAAAATTTGAACAGAGATGCTATTCTCTTACTAAGCTCTTAAATTTCTTCTCCCGGAACAGAGATGCTATTCTTTTGCAAAGCTTTTAAATTTATACACAATTTTGATAGAAACATGTGAGACATCCCTTGCTTATTGCTGATACTGCAACTGTAGTTTATATGAGTCTACTTTTGTGCTTCCATGCACCTGTTATGAAGCATTCATCCTGACAAAAAAAACAAAGGATGACACTGGACTCTTCTACCAATTCTAGAACTTGTTCCTTTCTGAACCAAGCATCAACCAAAAAATCATGTCAAATTTGAACCAAAACACATATCAAACATCATATATATATATATATATATATATATAGAGAGAGAGAGAGAGAGAGAGAGGTCAGAAAGGAGGGGAAGGATTGGGAGCAGGTCACCTAAGAAAAGTAGATCACGAGCACCAAAATCCTACATGAGGCAGCATGGTGCAGAACAAATTATTGGGATGGATGCCATACAACTTAGAAATGATGCCTGAAATGGAAAGGTTGCACAAGGCACTCAAGAATCATCTAAAGCACTTATAAATATAAAACAATAGAATATAGACAGAAGGGAGATGAGAATGTATCCTTAAATTCATAAACCAGGAACACTAACTGGGCTTGCACAAGATGCCTACACTTGAAAACCCGATGCTTGTTTTCTACAGAAAAATCACAATGGAATGGTATCAATGCATCATATGAGGAAATTGCAAATCATGGGGTGGAAGTGGAGAAACCATCATATACTTTGGCATTGATAAACTCGGTTATCCCGAAAGTTTGTAAGCATGGAGCTCTTCTATCTGAACCCAAACCTGCGAAGCAATCAACAACACGAGTCAATTCATAAGCAAATCCAGAGAGAGAGAGAGAACTGGAACAAGGGCTCCAAGAGGAGGAAGCAAGCGAGGGGAGGAGGCGGCGCGCCAGTTGCTCTGCTCGCTTCTTTGCACTTACGTAGCTGCCTGGCTTCTTGTCCAAGCCAGAGAGGAGCAGCCGCCATTTGAGGAGCCCTGGCTTCCCTTCATCTTTTAAGTGGCCCGTGCTGGACAGTGGGAGATAAAGCCCTACCATTCCCCACCTGCTGCTCCTTGCTCCCCACGCCAGCCTCTCCTCCAGGGTCGGCACTGAAGGGGGGTAGAGGGGGCCGCCGCCCCAGGCCCCCAAGCTGCAGGGGCCCCAACCCAAGGTACGTACGCTGCTAGCTTAGGCTAGCCCACACACGCAGCTACGCATTATTTTGTTTTGGAAAAGGAGCTAAGCACTACATGGGCTGGACACGCAGATGTAAGCACGGCAAGCCCACGCACGCAATCGCTAGTTCCTCGACTCATCATAACCGTACATACTAGCCTCGAATGCGCTCCTGTTCGCTTTCCTAATTCCCCTTTCTTTCAAGATCCAATCTTCCCGACCCCCGGATCTGATTGCAAGTCGCCGTTTCGCCGGCGGGCTCCGCTCTCCTGTCTCCACTCGAGATGTCATCCACGTCGTGTCATCTCCGAGCGCACCATAATGACACGCCAGGTTGCCAATGGCAATCCCCTTCGTGTCATGGCGGAGCGCCCGATCAGGCAATTAGCAAAGCAGATCCAACCGCTCTAAGGTATACCATGTTATTCACTATTACTCCCTCCATTCCTAATTATATGTCTTCCTAGTGATTTCAAAAAGACTGCATATGGATGTATATAGACGTATTTTAGAGTGTAGATTCACTTATTTTGCTTCGTATCTAGTGCATATTAGCATCTCTAAAAAACTTATATTTAGGAACGGAGAAAATAGTTTATTATAAGTAGCCCTTCTTTGCATATATTCAACTTATGTTCAATTTTATTTATTTACAATATCGTTTTTGTGTGTATAAACTATTTCATATAAATATTTGTTTTGATTTGATTAAAGTATATATACACATACTAGAAAATTACTCATGCATTGCAACAAATATAAAATAAACTGATACATGTTGATAAACTTGAAACAAACACCCCGCTCTCGGTATATATATCACTACAAATATGTTAGGACTCATCCATAGTATATTCCTCTTACGCTCTGTTTGGATGTAGACATTCAAGACCTGGATATTGCATTGGCTCCAATGCCTAATATCCCAAGGCATTGGTATTGAGCTGCAATGCCACACTTTGTGTTTGGATGTTCTTGTATTGGGCACTTGGAATTCAAGGGACAGAGGAATGCCAAATCTTGTTTGGATGCGCATGGTGTAGAATTGGGCATTGTGAAATGTATGAACAATATAATAATTTCTTGTACAAGTTTGGAAATTAAATCTGATCATCATGCCATACATTTGAGAGATTATGTATTATAATACAATAAAATTGCATGAAAATAATTTAAAATTGGCACAGACAACATCAATTGTCCAAAATACAAGAAAAACTGGCTGAAAAGTGTACATAGGCAACATGAGCATATTATCATGCACTGGACAAGTTCCAACTCCTCAAAAACATGAAAAACAGGCTGAAAACTGTACATTACAGTAGTATATAGCAACATATTATGATGAACTTGATAACACAATCAACTGTTCAAAAACATGAAAAATTAGGCTGAAAACTATATGTAACAGCCACATATCATGATGAACTTGAGAACATCAATTTGTCCAAAAACTATCATCAACAGCAACATATTATGATAACCTTGCCAACAACATTACATATTATAACATGTCTCACACCATCCAGAACACATAGCAAGTCTTGTGCATAACAATGAAACTTTAGGACAAGTTCGAAGTCTCTCACAAACTAGGAGAAATAAGAGTAGCAACACACATACATATTATCCATCAAGAGCCATTCTACTAATTCAACATCAACAACCATTCCTTCCGGAAGTTCATGGGAAGCTCAAGAAGCGCTTGGTACAAGCGTTCGCTAAGGATCATCTTACCATAAGATCGCAAGATGTCACCACGAGCTAGATCAGGGATCCTCTCAAGTGTCCAAGGATTTCAGCAGGAGGTGTAACTTGGGGCAGAGGTAAAGGCTCGAGTGACTTCAAAGCATCATGAAATGAGCCTTTCATATCCCCAAGAAGGCACATGATGGCATCACTAGTTCGTTGTTTTTTTGTGGCACTTCAGGAGAGGCTTCATTGGGTTTCGTAGTTGGTTCTACAACAGTTTCAGCACCAGTGACATCACCTTCACCATTTGCATGATCTTTTGAGTATATGGTGGTGATAGCATCCCAATTCTTAATGACCCTGTTCTTGTAAAATCCTACTTTCTTGTTAGCCTGCACACACATACACACACACAAAGAGAGAATTGTCAAACAAAGGTAGATCTTACATATGTACAATATAATCAAAATGTGGAAAGGATAAATTTCTTACCGCGACATATTTAAGCCACACATCTTCACTATCAATTGACAACTTGTTATTGACCCAATCCCACCCAAATCCACTTTGAGATAGCATCTTGCTAATGGCCTCGTAGTGCTTTTCAAAGGTTTTGCACCTTGAACTGATGTTTTCCTTTGTGATGGTCACAGAGCACTTCTCACGCACATTACCTATAACAGCACTGTAGACATGGGACTTCCATCCATTCTGGGCATGATCGCCATTGTTGTGATGCTCAACAAGGACCTCGAGTAGTGTAGTGTCCATTTCATCTGTCCATGTGAGGTAATTTCTACCAAATTTTTTTCCACCTCCTTCAGCCATGGTCCTACAAGAAAATGCATGCACATAATATCCAAACACAAAGACAACATAAGGTGCATGTAAGTTGAAACACAAAGACAACAAGGTAATGTCACACACACACACACACACACATATATATATATATACATATTAATTTCATAATATGAGGCATGTACAGAATACCCAAAAGGCACGCATTCCACCAAAGTCATATCAAGGTTGATCCACACATCCCACCAAAGTCATATCAACTAGCTAGCACAAAAGAGAACACCATTATCTAGTCGACCCGCACATCCTACTCCAACTCTAGTTCAACATGTCTCACGAGGTACTCGTCAAACATGTCATTAGCTAGCTGCTCCCTAAAGTTGGTCCATGAAGTGCTGACTTGCACACTCCTAATTAAGTTAGCATCATCTAGAGGATCATCTTCGGAAGAGGCTATTTCATTATCCACTTCCTCGAGCAACAAATCATCCATCACATGCTGCCTATCCCTTGCAAAGTTGTGTAACACACAACAAGCATTAATAATTCGAACCTGCAATAATATTTGTTCATCGTAAGCATTTTCCATTTAGTTTGCATCTTATTCAGCACCATATGGACACATCATACCTGGTCCTTTATGTCAAAGAAAGATTGACAACGTAGGAAAGCCCACTTTTTCTTCCACAACCCAAATGTTCTCTCGACTACATTTCTAGCTCGAGAAAGACGCAAGTTATACAGCTCTTTGGGAGTTTGGGGCTGTTGTTGACTTGATACCCACTCTTTTAAGTGATACCGAGTCGATCTGAATGGAGCAAGAAATCCCGGACCGTTGGTGTAACCAGCATCAACTAAATAATATTTCCCTAGTGTGTTAAGCAAGTGAGTTAGCTAACAATTATACAGAGGAGAAATGAATTACCAAGAGGAAGTGTCATACCATGTGGTACGACAAATGCATCTTGGCGGCTCAACCTCATTGCATCACGCAAGACTCTTGAGTCAGAAGCTGAACCCTCCCAGCCAGGCAAGACATACATAAATTTTATATTCCAATCAACCACACCAAGCATGTTAGTGCTGATAGCTTGCTTCCTATTCCTATATCTCCCTTGGTCACACACGGGCACACAAACATCAACATGACACCCATCTAGTGCTCCAAGTGCATTGCCAAACCACTTCCATTTGTAATCATCAGTTGGCTGAGTAGAAGGATCAGGAAGCTTAATGAACTCCCCGGTTAGAGATAGAATCGCTGTTAATACATCGTCAAAGTGGGTACTAATAGTCCATAAGGAGCGCTTGTAAGTGCCACGCAGAATCCTCATTTTGATACCATGGCCAACTACCAACAAGAACATTGCCACCTTTTCCTCCACAAAAACATAGACACTGTCATGAAGACCAGCCCTCTCACGCAACATGGTGCATAAGTCATGGAAGTTTCTTTTAGTTAAACGCAACTGATCATAGCATGTTACTTCTGCCCCATCATACATTCCTTTTAGCAAATACTTCCGATGAATGTTCTTTTCATCATCGTCACTAAAACTCCCTAAATCCCTTGGTGCCCTCCTCGTACTAAGATATGCTATCCCAAGAAGAAACGATTCAAAGTACAGTTTGGTCAAAACTATCCGTCTCCTCTTTCTTCTTTTGTTCTCCTCATTTATGTAAGCAACCAAGTCCATGTCAGACATGGTGCAGCTACATTACATTTCACAAATTAGACATTCATGCCTCATTCAATCACACAAGTAAATATACAAAGACATGGTACAACAAGCATTTCAAAAATTATGCTACGGCTAGCTATTAAGGACAAGTCATCAATCAGCCATACGACATAAGCAAGCAAGATACCAATCAGGCATATAAGACAAGCTATAAAAATTGTTGTACTAATTTATGCTACAACAAGATATCAAAATTTCAGCAAGCATTCAGTCATTTAAGACAGGGCACAACAAGCATTCACTATATAGTCAAATACTGATTCTAGTTCTCTTCACCACATGAATGCATGGCCAAACAAAACTTATTTTTTCCTTACAAATAGCAGAAATTATCTCTGAACATACCTTCAGTTGGTCTACAGGGATGTGCCAATCCAAGACAAATAACCTGCAGCAGAGTTAATTTAAGACAGATTAGTATCTTACTATGCAAACATATTGGGGAGGAGGGACGAACTGTGATGGGGAAGAGGGGGAGCAGCCATCAGATCTGAATGGGAGGGAGGGGAGGACATGGGATTAGGGTTGAGTAGGAGAGGGAGAAGGGCGGATGGGGGTGGTAGATGGACGGAGCTACCGCTGGTAGGGATGGGAGAGGGACAATCCAAGGGACGGGTCGCCAGCGGCCATCGGACCTGAAAGGGCTGGGGAGATTGGGGAGGGCAGGGGGAGATGAAGCACGAGGATAAGGCCTACCGGAGCAAGGGGAGAAGGAGGAGGAGGAGCGGGAGATGGAGGAGACCTGCCGGAGATGGGAAAGGAGGAGGACGGCGGCGGGAGATGAGCACCCACCTGCATCGCCGCTGTTCTCCCGTGCCGCTTCTCCTGCGACCTGTCTTCTCTGTTTTAGGGGCAAGAATGGGGAGGGTTGAAGAGGTAAGCGAGCCAGACCGGGCAATTTCAGCCGAAAACAAACCAGAGAGGCAAGGTATTCGCACGGGCACTCGCTAGTCTTGGCGCGCTGTGTCCAATATCAGGCTACGATGCCACGACCGAATACCCAGTGCATCCAAATGCTGGCATTCGGGAGTTACAAATGCCAAATCCCAATATTACCTCTCAATCCTTACATCCAAACATAGCGTAAATTTGATCATTCGGTTTGCATCTAATGCATGTGATGTAGGTAATGGTATTGAAAAGAGACCCCCATTATGCATCATGTTTGTAGTAAATCCGTTAGTGTGTTCGAACCAGCCCCAACCTTTCCCGACATCATCCAAACAAATAATGCTATGTTTGGATGTAAGGATTGAGAGGTAATATTGGGATTTGGCATTTGTAACTCTCGAATGCCAGCGTTTAGATGCACTAGGTATTCGGTCGTGGCATCGTAGCCTGATATTGGACACAGCGCGCCAAGACTAGCGAGTGCCCGCGCGAATACCTTGCCTCCCCGGTCTGTTTTCGGCTGAAATTGCCCGGTCTGGCTCGCTTACCTCTTCAACCCTCCCCGTTCCTGCCCCGAAAACAGAGAAGACAGGCCGCAGGAGAAGCGGCGCGGGAGAACAGCGGCGACGCAGGTGGGTGCTCATCTCCCGCCGCCGTCCTCCTCCTTTCCCATCTCCGGCAGGTCTCCTCCATCTCCCGCTCCTCCTCCTCCTTCTCCCCTTGCTCCGGTAGGCCTTCTCCTCGTGCTTCATCTCCCCCTGCCCTCCCCAATCTCCCCAGCCCTTTCAGGTCCGATGGCCGCTGGCGACCCGTCCCTTGGATTGTTCCTCTCCCATCCCTACCAGCGGTAGCTCCGTCCATCTACCACCCCCCATCCGCCCTTCTCCCTCTCCTACTCAACCCTAATCCCATGTCCTCCCCTCCCTCCCATTCAGATCTGATGGCCGCTCCCCCTCTTCCCCATCACAGTTCGTCCCTCCTCCCAATATGTTTGCATAGTAAGATACTAATCTGTCTTAAATTAACTCTGCTGCAGGTTATTTGTCTTGGATTGGCACATCCCTGTAGACCAACTGAAGGTATGTTCAGAGATAATTTCTGCTATCAGTAAGGAAAAAATAAGTTTTGTTTGGCCATGCATTCATGTGGTGAAGAGAACTAGAATCAGTATTTGACTATATAGTGAATGCTTGTTGTGCCCTGTCTTAAATGACTGAATGCTTGCTGAAATTTTGATATCTTGTTGTAGCATAAATTAGTACAACAATTTTTGATAGCTTGTCTTATATGCCTGATTGGTATCTTGCTTGCTTATGTCGTATGGCTGATTGATGACTTGTCCTTAATAGCTAGCCGTAGCATAATTTTTGAAATGCTTGTTGTACCATGTCTTTGTATATTTACTTGTGTGATTGAACGTGGCATGAATGTCTAATTTGTGAAATGTAATGTAGTTGCACCATGTCTGACATGGACTTGGTTGCTTACATAAACGAGGAGAACAAAAGAAGAAAGAGGAGACGGATAGTTTTGACCAAACTGTACTTTGAATCGTTTCTTCTTGGGATAGCATATCTTAGTACGAGGAGGGCACCAAGGGATTTAGGGAGTTTTAGTGACGATGAGGAAAAGAACATTCATCGGAAGTATTTGCTAAAAGGAATGTATGATGGGGCAGAAGTAACATGCTATGATCAGTTGCGTTTAACTAAAAGAAACTTCCATGACTTATGCACCATGTTGCGTGAGAGGGCTGGTCTTCATGACAGTGTCTATGTTTCCGTGGAGGAAAAGGTGGCAATGTTCTTGTTGGTAGTTGGCCATGGTATCAAAATGAGGATTCTGCGTGGCACTTACAAGCGCTCCTTATGGACTATTAGTACCCACTTTGACGATGTATTAACAGAGATTCTATCTCTAACCGGGGAGTTCATTAAGCTTCCTGATCCTTCTACTCAGCCACCTGATGATTACAAATGGAAGTGGTTTGGCAATGCACTTGGAGCACTAGATGGGTGTCATGTTGATGTTTGTGTGCCCGTGTGTGACCAAGGGAGATATAGGAACAGGAAGCAAGCTATCAGCACTAACATGCTTGGTGTGGTTGATTGGAATATGAAATTTATGTATGTCTTGCATGGCTGGAAGAGTTCAGCTTCTGACTCAAGAGTCTTGCGTGATGCAATGAGGTTGAGCCACCAAGATGCATTTGTCGTACCACAGGGTATGACACTTCCTCTTGGTAATTCATTTCTCCTCTGTATAATTGTTAGCTAACTCACTTGCTTGACACACTAGGGAAATATTATTTAGTTGATGCTGGTTACACCAACGGTCCGGGATTTCTTGCTCCATTCAGATCGACTCGGTATCACTTAAAAGAGTGGGTATCAAGTCAACAACAGCCCCAAACTCCCAAAGAGCTGTATAACTTGCGTCATTATCGAGCTAGAAATGTAGTCGAGAGAACATTTGGGTTGTGGAAGAAAAAGTGGGCTTTCCTACGTTGTCAATCTTTCTTTGACATAAAGGACCAAGTATGATGTGCCCATATGGTGCTGAATAAGATGCAAACTAAATGGAAAATGCTTACGATGAAGAAATAGTATTGCAGGTTCGAATTATTAATGCTTGTTGTGTGTTACACAACTTTGCAAGGGATAGGCAACATGTGATGAATGATTTGTTGCTCGAGGAAGTGGATAATGAAATAGCCTCTTCTGAAGATGATCCTCTAGATGATGCTAACTTAATTAGGAGTGTTCAAGTCAGCACTTCATGGACCAACTTTAGGGAGCAGCTAGCTAATGACATGTTTGACGAGTACCTCGTGAGACATGCTGAACTAGAGTTGGAGTAGGATGTGCGGGTCGACTAGATAATGGTGTTCTCTTTTATGCTAGCTAGTTGATATGACTTTGGTGGGATGTGTGGATCAACCTTGATATGACTTTGGTGGAATGCGTGCATTTTGGGTATTCTTCACATGCCTCATATTATGAAATTAATATGTATATATATATATATGTGTGTGTGTGTGTGACATTACCTTGTTGTCTTTGTGTTTCAACTTACATGCACCTTATGTTGTCTTTGTGTTTGGATATTATGTGCATGCATTTTCTTGTAGGACCACGGCTGAAGGAGGTGGAAAAAATTTGGTAGAAATTACCTCACATGGACAGATGAAATGGACACTACACTACTCGAGGTCCTTGTTGAGCATCACAACAATGGCGATCATGCCCAGAATGGATGGAAGTCCCATGTCTACAATGCTGTTATAGGTAATGTGCGTGAGAAGTGCTTTGTGACCATCACAAAGGAAAACATCAGTTCAAGGTGCAAAACCTTTGAAAAGCACTACGAGGCCATTAGCAAGATGCTATCTCAAAGTGGATTTGGGTGGGATTGGGTCAATAACAAGCTATCAATTGATAGTGAAGATGTGTGGCTTAAATATGTCGCGGTAAGAAATTTATCCTTTCCACATTTTGATTATATTGTACATATGTAAGATCTACCTTTGTTTGACAATTCTCTCTTTGTGTGTGTGTGTGCAGCTAACAAGAAAGTAGGATTTTACAAGAACAGGGTCATTAAGAATTGGGATGCTATCACCACCATATACTCAAAAGATCATGCAAATGGTGAAGGTGCTGTCACTGGTGCTAAAACTGTTGTAGAACCAACTACGGAACCCAATGAAGCCTCTCCTGAAGTGCCACAAAAAAACAATGAACTAGTGATGCCATCCTGTGCCTTCTTGGGGATATGAAAGGCTCATTTCATGATGCTTTGAAGTCACTCGAGCCTTTACCTCTGCCCCAAGTTACACCTCCTGCTGAAATCCTTGCGACACTTGAGATGATCCCTGATCTAGCTCGTGGTGACATCTTGCGATCTTATGGTAAGTTGATCCTTAGCGAACGCTTGTACCAAGCGCTTCTTGAGCTTCCCATGAACTTCAGGAAGGAATGGTTGTTGATGTTGAATTAGTAGAATGGCTCTTGATGGATAATATGTATGTGTGTTGCTACTCTTATTTCTCCTAGTTTGCGAGAGACTTCGAACTTGTCCTAAAGTTTCATTGTTATGCACAAGACTTGCTATGTGTTCTGGATGGTGTGAGACATGTTATAATATGTAATGTTGTTGGCAAGATTATCAAAATATGTTGCTGTTGATGATAGTTTTTGGACAAATTGATGTTCTCAAGTTCATCATGATATGTGGCTGTTACATATAGTTTTCAGCCTAATTTTTCATGTTTTTGAACAGTTGATTGTGTTATCAAGTTCATCATAATATGCTGCTGTATACTACTGTAATGTACAGTTTTCAGCCTGTTTTTCATGTTTTTGAGGAGTTGGAACTTGTCCAGTGCATGATAATATGCTCATGTTGCCTATGTACACTTTTCAGCCAATTTTTCTTGTATTTTGGACAATTGATGTTGTCTGTGCCAATTTTAAATTATTTGCATGCAATTTTATTGTATTATAATACATAATCTCTCAAATGTATGGCATGATGATCAGATTTAATTTCCAAACTTGTACAAGAAATTATTATATTGTTCATACATTTCACAATGCCCAATTCTACACCATGCGCATCCAAACAAGATTTGGCATTCCTCCGTCCCTTGAATTCCAAGTGCCCAATACAAGAACATCCAAACACAAAGTGTGGCATTGCAGCTCAATACCAATGCCTTGGGATATTAGGCATTGGAGCCAATGCAATATCCAGGTCTTGAATGTCTACATCCAAACAGAGCGTTAGGGATAACACACATGCCATTGTCGTCGGCTGAGTCTTTTAAAGAGCAAAGATGGTTATTAGTATTATTATTATGATTTTCATGCAAAGGGGCCCCCGAGTTTTGGTTTCGCCCCGGGCCCCTAAAATCTCAAGACCGGCCCTGCTCTCCTCCACCCCGTGATGTGTGCACCGCCTAGAGCTCATGCCTCGTGCTTCATCCCCCCGCCGCTAGCCTAATGACCACCCCTGCTCCTCCACCCCCACAGTAAAGACCCTGTCGCCCTGGTCTTCCACGACGACAACCTGCGCCTGATCCGGGAAAAGGGCAAGCAATGGCGAGGCAGGGATGAGGAAAACGGGAGGTGCAAGAGGAGGCTGGATAGGAAGTTGAGATGGACGTCAGCAAACGAGGGATGAAGGAGGGACATATGCGTGACTGGGGCTAGGGTTCATATAGGGTTGCACGCAAAAGCGAAGACGCCAAATACGGGCAGTACAACATGCGGCATGTGAGGATAGGGTCGCTCGCACCCATGAAGGGCTCACCCGGGCCACTAGGGAGGAAGATCGAGCCCACCGGTGAGGGATATTGAAAATTAACCGCGCGGTGAAAACTAGCAGAACAAATCTCCGAGACGAACCAGTTGGCCAAAAGCAACTCAATCGAACGGCCAACGAGGCTTCAATCTAGGGGAGTGCTGGGAGGCTGAGTTGGCCAACCTCATTATAGGTTGGAATGTTGATGACATGATCATGAATGGCGACGACCCCGAGTATATTGCCTTTGTGAAGGCACGTCTTAGTGAGCAGTTTCTTATGTCTAATCTTGGCCCCCTTCGCTACTTTCTTCAAATAAAGATCTCTTCTACTTCTGGTGGATATATTTTTCTCATCGTTGTCAGACTATTCTTTTGGATATATTTTTCTAATCGTGATTGAACTCTTCTTTTTTATATGTTGATGACATGATCATCAATTGGGACGACCCTGAGTATATTGCCTTTGAGAAGGCACTTCTTAGTGAGCAGTTTCTTTTTCTTATGTCTGATCTTGGCCATCTTCCATACTTTCTTGGGATAGAGGTCTCTTCTACCACTAATGGCTTTACTCCCTCCGTCCGGAAATACTTGTCGGAGAAATTTCAGGTAGTATTTCCCAAGACAAATATATCCAGAATCTTCTTGCTCGTGCTACTCTTATTGATGAGTGTACTATTGAGACTCCCATGGAGCTCAATGTTCACCTTCGTGCTACTGATGGTGACCGTGTCTGATCTGACATGTCATCGTCATCTTGATGGGAGTCTTGTCTATCTAGATGTCACTCGTCCAGGTATCTCTGATCATGTCCATATTTTCAGTCAGTTTGTCTCTGCGCCCACATTGGTTCACTATAGTCACCTCCTTTGTGTTCTCCGATATCTTCGTGGCATGATCTCTCATTGTCTATTCTTTCCCTGCTCCAGTTCATTACAGCGTCAGGCCTACTCAAATGCTACGTGGGCTAGTGATCCCTAGGATTGTTGTTCACTTTTTGTTTATTGTTTTTCTTGGTGGTTCTCTCATTGCCTCTCAGACAAAGAAACAGACTGCAGTTTCAGGTTCGAGTGAAGAGGCTGAGTCACGAGCTATGGCTCTTTTGATGGCAGAGGTAACTTGGTTATGATGCTTACTTCAGAAGTTTGGTGTTTCTGTCACTACACTCTGCTCTTGTCTGACATTACATGTGCTCTTAGTATTGTGAGCGACCCTGTGAAGAATGAGCTCACCAAGCATATTGGTATTGATGCTTTTTTTGTGCATGCTGTTGTGCAATATTCAGGTTATTGCCCCTCAGTATGTGCCTACCGAGTTACAGTTGGCGGATTTCTTTAGATAGGCCCAGACTAGAGCACAACATGACTTTTATCTCTCCAAACTTGGGGTTGATCCATCATGAGTTTGGGGGGGGGGAGGGGGTGTGAAGAGTTATATATGTAGCCGTGTACCCCTTTGTATTTTCCCCGTTCTATAATGTTTTTTTTTCATATAGTAACACACTTGCACGTTTGTGTATAACAACATGTGGCCACCTGGAAATACAAGTTGCATATTTCCTAACAGGTACGATCCCTCCTGGTTAATGGCCAAGGACTTCTTAGCATTTCGTCTTTTAATGTTCCTCGATTTACCATGCAGCTCATTTTTGGTGGTCAAATTGTTGACTCTGGTTGTCGGGTAATTCTCGACTTTGACTCATGCTTTCTTCCAGAACGTCACACTAGTGCTCTCCTTGGTGCTGGCCCCCGATGGCTTGACTCAAAGGGCCTCTAGGAGCTTGATTGGCTTCACCTTCCCTCCGTTGCCACCATCACAAGTCTCTCCACATTTGTTTCCTTGTCTACCAGCTCTTTTCAGCATTGCAAATCGCCTTGGACACTTGTGTGACTCTCGTCTCTTGTCCTTCATTCGGTGTGGTCTTCTTGAAACGTGTGGGGCCTTAATGCACTAACGCGAACCATTGCCCTCTGTGTTCGTCTCAAGCACCCCCTTGGTGATTGTCAACCTTATATGGTCCTTTCGCTGATGCAAATCGCTTCGCTTTGCATCATGGTCCTTGGGTCGTTACCGGTGACTACTTTATCTAGCAGGCAAGGGATAAGAATAACACTAACCAAAAAAGATAGATGGTCAAATTTCACCATTTCCTTAATGACCTTGAGCTTTGCAAGATCAACCTCGTTGGTTGGAACTATAGTTGGAGCAACAAGCTCCTTCATGCTCACCGACAAGGGCTAGCACGCCAGATCACAACCCTCATGCTCAAGGTTGACACTGCGAAGGCATTCGGTTCAGTCTCATGGCCCTTCCTCCTATGAACGCGTGGCACGCTGACATTGGCGGCAGATTCACCTAGTGGGTCTAAATGATTCTACCATGGACATCCTCAAAAGACATCCTCAACAAGATGCCCGGAAGGCATATTCTTCACCATTGTGGCATGTGGCAACATGACCACTTTTTGTCGTTGTTGTTTCTTCTATTGTGCTGGTGGTGCTCGATGCCTTGTTGGTCCATGTGAAGAGCGTTGTCATGTCGGAGCCATCGCACTGGCATCCATGAAGCACCTCATGTCACTGTACGATGTCGACATGGGCATCCTCCTGTCTTCGACATGCGGCAACCTGATCTTGGTGGCGTGTCAAACTTATGCACCAACTTTGAAAAGTGCTCCTTTGCGCCAAACTGCTGCAGCATCGTCCAGATTTAGGTGATCAATTTAAGCTTCGCATGTGCTTTCTCATTGCTCCCATGCACCTACCTCAGCCTCCCCTTGTCGTGCAAGAAGATTCAAACGGTCCAACTGTGGCCTCTTCCAGACAAAGTTCTCAACTTCCTCCCCACTTGGATTGAGAGTCTACTTAACATAAGACCTCCTGTCTTCAACGTGCGTCAACCTGATACCTCCTGTCTTCGACGTGCGTCAACCTGATCTTGACGGCGTGTCAAACTTATGCACCAACTTTGACAAGTGCTACTTTGTGCCAAGCTGCTGCAGCATCGTCCAGATTTAGGTGATCAAGTTAAGCTTCGTATGTACTTTCTCATTGCTCCCATGCGCCTACCTCAGCCTCCCCTTGTCGTGCAAGAATATTCAAACGGTCCACCTGTGGCCTCTTCCAGACAAAGTTCTCAAGTTCCTCCCCACTTGGATTGAGAATCTACTCAACATGAGAGGCTCCTCAAATTTGCTCTCCATCCCAGATTATCAAGCCATCGCCATAAAACTACCTCTGTGTTTACTTGAGGAGATCGAGAACTGCATTCGCGCTTTCCTTTAGAGCGGGACCGACATACTCAACGATGGGCAATTTATGGTTACCTGGAGCAAGGTGTGCTCCATGTGGAACTCAGCGGCTTCAGAATCCTTGAGTGCATCTCTCGTTTGTGGGCAGATTCCTTGTTGAGCAGGGTACACTTCCTTAGTTCTCTTGTCCTGGTGCTGATGCTCAGAATGATTTTGCTGAGCGCAAGCATGGTCACCTTCTTGAGGTGGCTCATGCGTTGATGATTGTCATGGTTACCTTCTTGAGGTGGCTCGTGCGTTGATGATTGTCGCCTCTCTTGCACCTCACTTTTGGGTTGACGTAGTTTCTACTCCACCTATGTCATCAACATTCATCCTTCCTCTGCTCTACAAGGTGACATTCCTCTCGAGCGTTTTTTTGGTCATTCTCCTAACTCAATGATTCC